TTAGAGAAACTGCATTGGGACAATCTTTCCTTACGTAGGAAAAAGCACAAGTCTATACTAATGTTTAAAACTATCAATAAGCTAACGCCAGAGTATTTACAAAACATGTTTACATTTCGCAGCACAGATTATAACTTAAGAAATGCAGAAATGAAGCTAAATTTACCAAAACCACGTACGGACTTTATGAAGCGTAGTTTCTGCTACAGTGGAGCAAGTTTATAGAATGCGCTTCCTCAAACTGCACGTACGTCCAAATCATTGAGGCATTTCAAAAATGAAATTAATCAATTCTTGACATTATAATGGGATCCCCACACGGCAATCTTGGAAAACAGTGCATTTTAGTTAGGAAATTAGTGTGTATATAGTGATGTGTGAAATTTATTAATAGTTTTTGTATCTTATTCTACACTGAAGATTTTACCGTGTTTAAATAAATGTTCAATGTTCAATGTTCAATGTCGTGGATAATTAATTCATTTTATTTCGAATATCCAAGTCCGATCCGATTCGACTACGAAACAACTTTATCAATCCGATCCAATCCGAAATGAATATTTTTGTTCCGAAATCCAAACGAATCCGATCGGATCAGATCAGATTTGGATCGGATTTGCACACCTTTATTTTAAACACAAAAGAAATTACGTGATAAAATAAACAAATCAGATTGATTTAGTCAAACGAAGCACACACAAAATATATAAATCATGTTGGAGAGTAAATTAATGTTGAAGATAGATAAAAAAAAAATTCTTACCTTGTTTGAATATGATGAACATTTCCTGTCAGCTATCGTTACTACTGTATATAAGGTTCTATGTGCTCTGCATGGTTTTGTGACTGGTAAAGAATCAAAATATATAAATCCAGGGCTGCAGGTTCAAATCCCTCCCGGAATAAATTAAAATCTGAGCATATATAGTTGGAATATTTAAACATTCTATTGTTATACAGTATTTGTTTTTTGTTTATTCTTAATTTGTGTTGCAATTAGGCAAGATCGAAGTAGCACTGGTCACATTCTTGGACCTGTTCAAACTCAACAACAAACCGTAACCTCCGAACGAAAGTTGAATCCGTTGACTTGTGGTGTTTTACGTTGCCTAACGCATGTAGCCATGTTGTTGGGAACAGATCAGGATATTCAGGTATATGTCAATTGAACTTATTAAGCATTTATATTATTACTAGTATATGGGAAGTTAAATTTTATGATCTACGTCTTTTGAAAAGACATATAATCTTGGAAACATGAATTATGTATAACCGTAACATTTACTGTTCTCCAGTGAATATTGCGCTAAATTAAAAAGCGCTTGTAGTGCACAAGATTATTTTATACTGGATCAAGTCATCAAGATACTACTTGCGGCGCTTGTATTAATTAGCCTTTCTCACGCCGCCATTTTTGGGGTACTACCTTCCAAATCTGAGATTGTGCGCAGTGAATAAGGGATTTGTATATAATTGTAAGTATATATAATCATAAGTTAATTTGCTGTTGAATATTAAAAAAAAATGTTTTCACATCGCTTAGATTTTTTGCGAATTTGGCCTTCGTGAGAAAGCTAATTGTACTGATGGCGATTATGTATACTATCGAGTTTGTAGATGCACGCGTGATGTTTCCACAAAACGGAAACATCAGTCTGTAGCATTGAAATGATTACAAGTGGAATGCTATTATACCTCCGACCTGAAATATGAAGTCAACTTGAAGGCCAGTCCCAGTCTTTTCACCCATGCGAAGAGTGCTCAATCAGTCAATGATGATATACACACGTGTAATCTTACCTCCAGACATGCGTTTTTGGAGGTAAAATTTGGCTTCAAGTTGGCTAAAATTTTGGCTAAAATTTGGCAGTTAATCTGAACGTAGCGTTCCAGTTATATTTATTTCAATTGTCTGTAGATGTAGCCTACGTGGTGTTTCCACAAAACGGAAACATCAGTTTGTAGATGCACGTGATGTTTCCACAAAGCAGAATCTTTTGAATGAATGTTTTAAAAAAAAATCAGTTGTGATGGTATGGTGTTTTTGTGAGCTGATTCATAGTAATTCTACTAATTCATGTTGTATTTCCTTATATGATTTGTATAGTCGAACTACAGTATTATAATATAGTCATGCAATATGCTGTAAATAATATGTTTCAACGTTTTAATCAGGGTATTGCTGCTATTATAAAACCACCAGTTGAGGATGTTGTCCAATTCTTAAAAGAACACATACAACATGATATAAGATGTATAGCACGAAGTACTGGTAACAATGATGATGAGGCGGTGCAAATAATCCATTTAGTGCTTGCTGGTATTGTAAACAACTTGGGTCAACAGGGAGGTACGTTTAGTCACATAGGTTTGTAACTATAATTGCGCTGGTTTGTGACTGATATTATATTTCACTTGTTCTGTTCTTTTAATTTTAAGTAAACACAAATGTTTTAAGTTTTTTATTACATCTCGAACACGCTCATGGACTCAATCATGCCTCCCGAAAGTCAAAAATCACAACCGTAAAACTTCGATCTGTAAGCCTGAAAATTGCAAAGGACTTTGTGCAAAACATAACTTATGTATGCATATATGCCTTCTTTCTATATGTGAACGTCCATCGTGCTTTTGCGCATCGTGCTTTGAGTTTTGACTTCGACAATTGACAACCTTAAATAAAAAATACTAGCTTCAATTATTAGCTTCGATTAAATTCTTACATTTTAATTAGGTATTTCAGAATAATCATGACTTCTTAATTAAGTCACTATAGGAAAAATTTACTATGATGTGATGATTGTATGCGAGAAATGTCAGGTGTCATATTGTCATATGCATGCATGTTCTCTAAATATACTTAAAAGATGTTAACTAAGAACTTTATTGTAGGTTACCAAAATATTGATTGCAACCTGACCACCAAAGATTCAAGAATAGTCTGGGAAGAAGCATTTATGACCACTTATTTGAATCCTGTTCTTTCCGTAAGTTTTTACATCACAAGATCAGATATGCACTATGGCGTTTTTCGTAATTCGCCTGCAAAAAATCTGCTTGTTAATTCCTTGTTTAAAATTTTTATACTGCTGTATCGAAATCTTTGCAAATCTCCTAATCATATAAGAATTTCAAAGTATTACAGTGCGTCTACAATAAGTTAATTGGACCACTTAGAGAACACTAACCAATCAGATTCCAAAACAAAAATAGAAATCTAATCAAACTAAAGCTCGACCAATCAAATTAGGAGTTCGCTTCAGGAAGCCAGTAACTGCAGTGTTTACTTTTCAAATCTCTTTTACCGTTTGACATTCGTTTATTTGTTAAAATTGTTTTCGACCTAATGCCGATTGGCTAATGTCCCGACCGGTTAGTGTTCTCTAAGTGGTCCCACTTGCTGTAGACGCACTATAAGAGGTCAACAATTTAGATTGTACTAGGACACTGGAAGACTGTTTTTACTTAAGGGAAACTAAGTCCTAAATTTGTACAGAGAAAGTTTCGTATGTATATTAGCGTGCTTTGTGAGACATTTGGGAAAAGGAAAAGTAATACACCCTTCTGGAAAGGAGTAACTCAAACCTTAGCTTTAGGGATATTTATGTTGGTGGGTTTGGTAGATGACAATTTGAGTGATAATTATGTGATAAATTTTGATATAATTTCTGGCTTGTGCTAAGATATTTTAGCTCACGAAATGCATGCATGTGAACAGACTCGACTGATGATTGTGTATTTTTATAATACAATATAATGGGAAATACAAACTTCATTTGTGAAGCCTGTACGTCGTATTGATATAAAGTAAGAACGTAATATTTACTGCCAGTTCATCTGCTTTCTGCATTTGAAACGAGCACTTATATGGAGTTTAATTTTAAAAATGATATACTGTACCAATTCACACTGTTTATGTAGATATTTGGCCGCATAGACTATATTAAACGCTATATTAATACCATAGGCATAGCGTACTGAATTACATTCAGTGCCAGGCGTAGTGATCTGTAGTTGATACCACTTCATTATATAAAGTATAACACATTACTAACAAACGTAGTGAATTTTTAACGAATGCTAGTCGTAGCGTTATAGTGTATAAAACGCCGTGTTCAACAGTATAGCAATTGTTGATTATGTGAGGTTGGATGTGTTGATCAAGTGAAAGATCATATTACGGACGCGTATTCATACATGATATTTTCCTCTTTCGTGACTTGACTATATTTAGCTACAATATATTTTCAGTTAAGTTGAAAAATATATAGTGAAATATGATAAAAAAATGCATGGATTTCAAAAAGTTGCAAATTTTTTATATAAAAAAATTATCAAAAATTTTCCGCTAATCATGCAATTTTGCCCCTAGAATGGGTGGGTCTTAGAGTTAGAGCAGGACTAGTCAACTTTCGCTAGCTACGCCACTGGTTGAGAGGAGTACAATTATTTCGTTAATTGTACTGCAGTACAATTAATGATTTTTCCAAAACAAACAAAATGGCGGAAACGTATTTTAAACTCAAGCGTGAAATGAAATTGCCGTGGAGGAACTAGATGAAAATACGAACAAAATCACCAAATTTTGCTTTAACAAAAGAACTAAATGAAAATACAAACAAAAGCACCAAATTTTGGTTGAAAGTCTGGCGGGACTGGGCTTTGGCGAGAGAATATGATGCTGACATTGAGAAGTACGTATCCAATTTTGTCATGCTAATTGCTGCCGAGCGTAGCGAGGCAGCACACTATTCTTGACATGCGGTGGTTTCTCCAGAGTCCACTCGACCCAGTCTTTCGCGCGAGTTATGTATTGTCGAGATCGAGATCTTGTGTCTGTCTGTCTGTAAAGATGTTTGTCGTAATCCGGGGGGAATAATTAAGCTTCAGGAACGTTTGTTAAATGAGGGGAGCGGTCAAAACATGAAGATTTTCAAGCTTTTAAATACGGATCACAACTCACAAGACAGCAAGAGATCAAAAATATTCGGAAACATTCAGGTAAGTTCGGCTCTATTTTTTTCTTCTTATATACATCAGGCAATGACATTTTTAGTGTTCAATCTAGAGGCAAACAATGTGCTTTTATGAGTTTATCAGCACTTTTAACTGCCCAAAATATACTACAGATCGATTGGTCAAAAACGACATTTAATCGTCTTATTTATACAAGGAGACAAAATGTACTTGCAAGCTCTGGATAATGGCTTTGTTGTCTTAGAAACTGCCCAAAATATACCACTCATCGATTGGTCAAAAACAACGTTTATAAATAATGTCTTATTACAAGGAGACAAAATGTACTTGCAAGCTCTGAATGATGGCTTTATTATCTTAGAAGTAGAACCTGCTGTCAAATTCTTATCTGTCGATAATTTACCTAAACTTGTCAGTATTTCAAGTTGTATACAAACATGTTTCTTACAAGATATGTGATTCTGTGATCGACACAAGTAATATACCACATGTAGTGTATGCAAAAACAACTACAACACCTGTGAATCCTTTTGATACACAAAATAATGATACTATAAACAGTCTGCCCATGGTGGTAGGACAAAATAATAGCATTCTATATCCATTGTAGTAGAGTCCATTGAGGCAAAAAATATCATTGATCTGCCCATTGTGGTAGAGCCCATTCAAGGCAAAAACTATAGATCTGCCCATTGTGCCAATGTGGTAGAGCCCATTGAAGCAAAAACTATAGATCTGCCCATTGTGGTGGAGCCCATTGAGACAAAAACTATAGATCTGTCCATTGTGGTATCTAGAGCCCATTGAGGCAAAAACCATTGATCTGCCTGTGGTCTAGCCCATTGAGGCACCAACTATCAGCGATCTGCCCATTGCGATGGAGCCCATTGAGGCACCAACTATCAGACTAGGTGTCAGCCAGGGGGGGGGGCTGTTGTGGTATCCTAAATAGCTGATAAATATGGATACCTATTTATATTCAAAATACCTATTATTATGGTCAAAATGTTACATAATACCTAAAGCAATCAGAAGTTGTATACCAGACCTAATACCCAAAATTAGTCATAACATTTAAAGTAAATATACAGTATACTCGAATTAAATACCATTAGATCCTATATACACAAAACCCTATAGCCGACCCTACAGACTGCTCTGCCCATTGTGGTGGAGCCCATTGAGGCACCAACTATCAGTGATCTGCCATTATGTGCAAAGGCAATGAGTTTATAGTGTTCCATTTCTAGATGTTTATAGCTTTAAACAAATGTGGAATGTTGCTAAATCAGGTTTAATATTAAAGATTCCTAGAGCAACCCAGTGTGGATTATTGTCTGCACATATATTGACTTACCAGCAATTACATGTAATATTACTAACATTTTAACTGACTTTTGTATAAGATCTGAGATATGTCCATTGTTAGCATAATATGAAATAATTCTAGTGGCCTACATATGGCTGTGTCACTACGATAATGCTCACAATTTCTTTCTTATTATATATTTTTTCAGTTCTGACTGAGTACAATCTTAATCATGTCAATGAATGGTGTCATCTGAAGCATATTAAACAGAAATGTCAACAAAAACATTTTGTCTACCCATCGGCAGATTGTTCGGTTGGTCTGTGATAGGGGAAGCCATGAAGGTGGCATTACACGTAAAACGATAATTGGAACAAAAACCCACTTTATAGTATTTTTATATAAACATTGTTCTGTATGCAGTGGCAAACTCACACATGTGATCACCAAGTTTATACTTTATGGTGCACTTTTTATAAGATGAGATGTAAGATACAATCAGGGACGCCGGAACTGGGGGGGCAGGAAGGGCAGCCACCCCCGTTGCCCTTTACCAGGAGGGGCAAGGGGGGCAAAGGTGTCCTTTCAATTTAAAGGATTGCCTTGGCAAAATAGCGAATTGTCAGAAATGTTAGTGGAATTCTTTTACTAATTTGCTTCAGAAAACGCAAGAATTGCAGTCATCGAGCTTCATGAATAGCATAATCGCCTGGCGGAGAACCCCCTCACACCCCTATCATCCAATAAATAGAAAACATGATTAGGTGAAGTTCAACTCCCGATGTTTTGCAAACATCTCTTAGTACATATCAATTCAAAAGTGCCCTTTCACGAAAATCTGCCACCCTTCACATCGTTCCGGCGTCCCTGGATACAATTGTAGAAGGTAATTGATGTAGAACATGTGTAAGACATTAAATCATACATACAGTGAAAAAGACACTTTTTGGTTAAAAGACACTTTTTGGTTGTAGTACATCCTGCATGTACATATCGGCAGCATTTTGCTTGCGACAGTACTCCTAGTAATAAACAAGTAATCATGCGATGTTGCTCGTACAATTAGGGATTAATGGTACTCGTGATGTTTGGAAATTTGCCAAATTGGACTCGCCCCGGCGGCTCGTCCAATTTTGGCAAAATTTCCAAACATCACTCGTACTATTAATCCCTAATTGTACTCGCCATCGCATGATTACCTACACAAATTTACACTATAAATTTCTATCTACAAAAAAACCTTCAACGTTTAGTTTTATCGGGCGAGAGGCCAAAATCCTGATATTTGGAAAATTTATCCTGTTACTAAAGGCATATCTACGAAATTATGCAATTTAATATATATGTAAAATACCCTAAGCTCTCTACGTTACTTGCAGTTACAAGATAAGCAGGGGTCTCACGAAAACGAGCATCTATTTTGCATGATAATATGTTTGTAGTGCGGCGGCAGTTTATATGCATATTCTAAAAACCTGTAAATGGAAAATGAGCATAGCATATTCTCAGAAAAAAATCCTCTTTCTAAGAGTAGTATATATCAGACGGAAAACGTTATTTAGATGTGAATAACGGGCAGAAATTGCCCTTCAAAAGACATGGCAAAAAGGGAAAATTGCAAATAATCATGATTTCTTTAAAGTCTTCAATTGGATTTCAGCTTCTATTGTTGTTATATTCTGACGTTCTAGGCTATTTCTCACCTGCTCCAGGACAATTTGCGTCGTATGGTCCGAGATAAAAGACTTGGTAAGTATAACAATGTTTTTACAGATTTTTAAAATTTGTTTTCAACAAAAAAAGGCGTGTGGCATCTAATTCTGATAGTTTATCCACACTCGCATGCAACGACAGTCATGCACAGAAACATAGGAAGAGTTAAAAAATGGTGTCTCTAAGTTTGTTGTCCGAAACCTTACACTGCGATTGATGATGATGATGATGATGATGATGATGATGATGATGATGATGATGATGATGATGATGATGATGATGATGATGATGATGATGATGATGATGATGATGATGATGATGATGATGACGAGAATACTTTGCAAATAATGAATAACAGTGTCAGTTCGCTTTGCTATAGAAACTTTTATTCGTTCCGGAACTCCCGTTGCTAAATTGCAAATCCTATTTTCCACAATGCTTTCCTTGCTGATTCTTCGGATGTCTTTGGTGGGCGAATTAACAGTAGCATTTTAACGCTGCCAAAACATTTCTTTAATTTTCTACCGGTTGAGCGAACAGTTTCAAAACTACCCATTATTTGTAGAACTAGAAATACGTGCATGCAGTAACCCCTCGCCAATATTGCCATACATTAAACATGAAGTGTTCAGAAATGACCAGCACTGAACACAGGCTCGCGCTCAAGTGTTGCCACGACAACACGATATTCTTAAATTTTTATTTTCGTATATTTTGTACAAAACTGCAAAATAGTTGAAAGATTCGTACTTTTAACTATACGACAATAAATTTCCGAAATACATACTGTAGGTATATTATTTTGCATTTTGTGAGCTTTGATTTAATGTAAAATTTAACTTGAAACGCTTCGTAAAATGTTTTGAAATGTTCATTCAAGTAAACCTACATTTTGCCGATAAACTGTTTTTACTTAACAAAACATGATAAGTTTAATACAAATAAAATAAAATTGTTAGGTAATTTCAATTCAGTCGAGGATGACCACCCACTCAAGATCGTCCTTCGTTGGTCAGCGCCCGCGATGATTGATGGACTTTAGACTTCGCTAATGCTTTCGTTTCCCCGGGTGTAAATAGCCGGGGGGAAATTAGTACCCTCGCACGGCGCTTCGCGCCGTCAGCTCGGGGATTATTGTGTGACTGGGAGACACAAACATGCATGCCAAGTATATTACCAACCTATGCATCTTTATGCTTAAGGATTAAAATCTTCCTCTTGGACAACATGCAGAATCCTTAATTTACCAAGTCATATTGTACAATTTGATGCAAAACTACTATATATGTAAATAGAGTATATTTAGGTTTTTCATATTTGATAGATGCAAATGAAATTGGCATACGACTTAAGTTTTCTACTTTTGACTTTTGCAATTAACATCGTTTAAAACTACAACTTTATATCAATCTACAGGCAATAATCGTTTGATGAGATTGATACATGAAGTGGATGGCCCAAACTATGAGTCCATAACCGAACTCGATCCAATGTGTCCAGCACTATGGCGATACCGCAAAAAAATCACGTTAGAATATGTATCGTTCAAGTTTCAAGAGTATTCACAAGGACGCGATAAAGCAGACAGATGTGAAGTTCTGGCGGAATTCCTGAAAAAGGTGTGCAGACAAAAATAAGATCATACTCAGAAAGAATATGAGGGATAATTACCTTCGCATGTTAACTGTTCCAATTCACCAAATAGTAATTTCGCACGTGAAATACTTTCATACTGTATGTGAAAGAATATGCGAAACTCAAATTTCATATTCACAAAATAAATGCGGGTTTTCACATGCGAACTGTTCTAATTCCAAACAGAATTTCACATGTGAAATGATGTGTGAAGTGAAATATGTGAAAGGGTGGGCTTCAATTGCACTAATAAACTGCGTCTTTTGATGAAATTCTTAATTTTTGCGTATCAAACTATCCATGCAACACACGTAAAACCGCATGCAGGTTGTTGTTAAGTCGATATCAGGACGTATTCGCACTTGTTCCCAGTTGATGTGACAAGTTTGGAACAAGTGTTACACCTTGTTGCAAGGTTGATGACAGTAACAAACATGCTTACAAGTTGTTCCAACAAGGCTAATACAGACTGTTTGTAACACGTTGCTACGAGATTGTTGTCATCAATTTGTTGACGACTTCTAACGTGCAGGCGATATCGCACTTGTTGGAACAACTTGTTGCGAGTCTGTTGGTCTCATCAATCTTGTTGTGATAACAACTTATGAAACGTAAATATGAATTTTGACCACAATAAATTCGAGTAGAAAAATTAAATTCCCTGTCAATTTTTACTATTGTTTCAACCAATTGCAATTATTTAAATTTTGTTTTATATACTCCTATAGGAGCACCAACTCCGTGCGTTGCAACACTTTCCAGATATTATAAAACTACAGCGTCTGCTTTTCGAGGAATTTCATCGTCGTTTGGATCGAAATGAAGCAGAGGAATTTACTCTGGGAAAATTCCTGAAAAGAGGTAATTTTACATTAGCTTTAGTGTGATGTAAGCCAACCAGTTCGAGTAATGTCCACTACACAAAACATGCGTTCTTCATTGGAAATATAATTGCAGTTGAATCATCACGTGTACAAAGCTGAAACTGGAGGATTTAAGACTTATTGAAATATGCAACTTTGCTCGTCATTTGTGTTTTACACAGATACAGCTGTGATAGCAGTATCGACCCTCGAATAATTTTTATACCAGCTTGGTTTGTCGCTGCGATTCAAGACCCAAATTTCCTTATATTGCTCAAATCACGTGGAGAACGTGATTGTACGATGGTACCATACTACTATCAGTACGTCCCCTTTTGCTTTGTCAGCCGCCATTTTTGTGTTTACTGTATCGCCTGTTGCATGTTACTCTGACGCCGTAAGCGGTTTCGTCACATATCTCTATAACTGAGTATCTATAATTGGAATTTCTACCAAGTTTCCATTATTTTTAAATTTTTCGTTAGCTCCTCAAATAAAAGAACAATTCAGTGCTTTGGTCAACAGTTTTAGAATGGCTTGGAAAATCGTCCGGTCGTCCCTTACGCAAGATGGCAAGTATTGTTTTCTCTTTATCTTCCAAAACTCATTATTAATTCATAGTTTAGTTGCTTTAATATATAAAAACTCCCTCAATAATATTCTTCTTTTGAAACATTACTAATAAGACTTTTAAGTTGTTAAATAGATTCGCATTGTGTGTTTTATAGGGTCTTGTCTTAACACTATTAACAACCATTATTGACTGAAGGGGTCGGCATGAAAAGCTTTACGTTGTCTTTATTAAAATCCCATCATTACTTTTAATTGGCAAAACCTTTATCTGATAAAAATATAGTTGTCAACATTTTTTACATTAATTTTTGCAAGTTCCGAATGACCCTGTAATATTGGCCGTTAACATTGATTCTACCAAATCATTCTGGTTTTTGGAACACACACATTTTGTCCAATGAAAATCCATTATAAACGAGCTAGCCTTCTACACTTGCTTGTATTTAACAGAATTGACTCATTACCCAATTAAAACCATGTTCGCCTCTGTTTCCTTCTATATATAATTTCACATTGTTGTGGTAGTACAACAACTAATTTATGCTTTTAAATTTTTTTAGGCCCTTATTCAATTTCGCAGGAAATGTGCCGCATTGAAGTGACAAATTCAACACCAGTTTCCATGTTTTTGCCTGCTAAGTCTGGCCAGGGAAGATGCGCTTTGGCTTTGAACAATTTTCTTGTGACCTTACATAATGATTTTATTGGTCGTTGTAAGAGCTTACTAAAGGATGAAAGTGGGTATGTATAATAGAATAGATGGATTTTATCTTATTAGGATTAGATTTAGGATAGACTTAATAGTACATAGATTGGTGTAAGATACACCACTACAGCTATATTTGATTTTTGCAATTGCCATCTTGATTGACTTGTAAATAAAAGAATATTACCTTTTTTATTGCTGCTTGCATGTTGTATTAATATAAACCATTTTTCGTGTTACCATCCAGCTGTAGGAACATTTGCGGAAGTTTGGGAGAATTCGAAATTGCATAGAAGCACTCGCTGTTCGATCTTGTTTTCCCACTCATCAATTTCTCGTTTCTCTGAACTGGATGCAAAAACGAAAAATGTCTTTTATTTCTTAAGTATATTTAAAACATGAACAGCATTGTTTTATCAGATATAAAGATACGAGGCGAAGCCGAGAATGTTTTACATTGCTTCAAAAACGATCGATCTAGTAAGTTCATTGGCGAAGTACTTTTAAACAAAAGTCGAGAAAATCAAAGTTAAAGTTGAAAATATTATTGCCCAGCAAATATCTCGTAAAAGAGGCATATTCAAAAAACATTTGGTATATAAATTTATTGAGTAACGTTGTTAAAGTTAAAGTTTATGTAAATCAAGGGAAATCTTTATCGCATACATATAAAGATACGCTGTGCTAAGTGGTTATATTACTACCTTAAAAAATAAGCAGAAACTGAACTAATAACTATTATTATTATATTATTATTATTTTTTATTATTTTTTAAGGTAGTAATATAACCACTCAGCACAGCATTTTTACATTGGTACTACCTACACTGGTACAGACAGATTTAACATAAAGATACGAAACGCTTACGACTTTTCTTTGTGTTTTCTTCATGCATTATTAATTAGTTTTTGAAGTACATATATAATTAAGATTACTAACCTATAACGAACATAACTATATAGAGAGACCTGAATAATACATGAATAAATAGCACACAAAAGCTTCAAGTTGGTTTCTAGCTCTACACCTTTTGTGAAATTCAATTAATAATATTTTATAAATGTTTTTTTAAGCTTTGCATTGCCTTCATATTAAAAATAAGGACGAATTTGTTATTATACCATGTATTTAATTTTATTCATTAGCTTTTAAGTTGGTTTTTCTTTCTCTGAAGACGACCGGAGTACACGGGCCGAAAGCTCAGAATAAAATTAAACATGCATTTTCCTTATTTTTAATATTTTATAGTTTAATATTTTAATATTTTTAATATATTATAAGTTTGTTAGTGGGTAATTTTTACATAGGCAAGAATAACTGTAAGAAGATTACAGCGCCCAATTAAACGTTGTAGCATCATGTGCATTTAAATTTCTATTTTATTTTTTAGTCCGCCAGAAATACCTCTGGCGAACGTAACTAAGGCTCATCTTGTGGCATATGATCCAGAAAAGGATTTCTTACCAATGATCCTCGCACACTGTGATTATTCTCTTAAAGTTGGTGAGGAAACTACAGTAGAATTTAACTGGAAGTGTTTGGAAAGGCAGCTGGTGAACAGATTCATTAGAGGAAGACCCAGACTAACGTCTTTGGTAAATACCAACAGTACAAGTGAACATAGAGTTTGGAATTTAGAAGCAGAGTGTATAAGATTTATTAAAAATAAGTTTGAACAAGAATAAATAATAAATCGTGTATGTTTATACATTAATTTAACACTTGTAGATTCAGCTTCCCACCAATAGTTAATTAAAAAAATCAAAAGAATTTAAAGACGGCAATTAAGAACCAGCATCTTAAGTAACAAGTTTTTCTCTATGCTTTTCTTAGGTTGAATTGTTTGTGTTTAGTAAGGATATTTGTGATGGAGAAGTATTTGAAGCCTTAAAACGGAAGATTCGTCAGGTAGATTGAAATTGTTGTATATTTTATAAAAACATTGTAGCTGAACAATAGCATATTTAAACCACGTGCACTTTTGTGTATTTATTTCCATTTACGCAAAGACAAAAATAGTGTTAAGCAAGTCAATTAAAGTATAGTTAAGAAAAATTCGAAAAAAAGAATTCGCTGTATTTGCATGAACTCGTATCTTAGGGTTTCTAGAACAAATTTTCGTTGCTGTGCAGTGTCAGAATAAATGTGAAACTAGTTTTTCCATATCTCTGAAGATTGTTCTGAAACAGTTAAGTTAGTTGTTTGGGCAATGTGCATAATGCATATGTTTTAGTACTATTATCCCTTCAACCGTGTTAGTCCATGTTTACTTCACCAACAAGAATAAGATAGAAGGCTGTTTTCACAAAAGTGTTATAAAATGTTTTATTTTTTCTCGGGAAACGGAATCGTTACAATTTATAAAGTTACATTGAATGTTTTTATAATACTTTTATGGTAATTTCTCTATTTTCTTCTTTCATCGTTTGTTTTCGTCTTGTTCTATCTTGTTCTGCGTTGTCGTATTTTCAAGTTTACAAATGTTCATATAGCTCCATAGCCATACTAAGTTTTGGCTGTTGGCCTCGTTTTCGTGATTGAGATATCGGAGCCCTTTATCTTGTTACCGATGACCTAACTATATCAGGCCTTAAAATATCGGTCGGTCACGGACATTGTCCGACCCATTCGTGAAATTGTCCGACGTAGAGAGGAAACCACCGGACATTCTGTCCGACCTAAGTGAAACTGAGGTTTATTGTTTGTCCGACCTAAGTGTATTTGTGTCCGACCTAACTGTAGCTTTGTCCATCGTAAATCAAAATGTACCTATAGCCCAGGACTAGAGGCTTGTATGGTAAATCAGAGTACTATATTGTATAAAAAGTGAACTGGAAATGTTTTAACATAGTCCCCTCGACTATGTTAAAACAGAAGCACAATAGACAGATTTAGATCGAGGACGGCGAGCGAAATGGTGAAGTGGGGCGGCGAGTGAAATGGTGAAGTGGAAGACGAATTTAAGTTGTCGAAGTCTTTTTTAATACTGCTGTTCTGGCAAGCAAGTTAATTTTGGCTTGGAAATAAGTATGAAAGAAACAAATTATTTAATATCTTCACAACATTTACCGTTCAGAATTACCGTTCATTCTGCTGATATTCATCTCTGTCATTCAGACTTATTTCCCAGTCAAAAGTCAAAACTGAACTGAAGGTCATCGGACATATGTCCGACCCAAACTCAACGTCATCGGACATTTTGTCAGACGGTCCTGTAAAAGATATTTTAAGGCCTGCTATATAAAGGTCTTTTAGATGATATGTTGTAACTGTATGATTTTGTAAATGGGTCATGTACTGTAGAACATGCAGGATAATAGATTCTAAATCCAATACCGAAAATGAGGCAGTATGGCCTAGACTGAAAAAAACTTTCTGGAAGGGCGTATTGCGTTCTTCTATCTACAATTATAACATTTCATCAATTTTCATTCACTCTCAGCTCATTGAGGTAGAGTTACGTCTGCACATGCAGTATCATGGCCTGAAACCATGGACATATAGTATAAGCCAGTAGAGTAATGTCCAAGAAACATTTCTGATAGAATTTTTCGTTTGAAAGGAAAACCATAGTATTATCGACAACTGTTTGTCATAATTAAGCACTAACCAATCAGAGGTCTTCCATAACTGGGGAAAATACATACGATTGTGAACATAAGTATTGGCGATACCAGGGGAGAGCATTATTCTTGAAAGTACTGTACATTATTGTCATTTTAGGAAGAACTAACTCGCCCAGTCCAAGAGCAAATATTAAATGAACTCAATCAGCTGACCGATGTTTGTGATGTTCTTAAATCACTACATATTGCTATTGGATTTCTGTCTTCTGCTGGGGGACCTCCTTCAATGTCTATCCATAAATACCTTCATTCAGGATTAAAGATGACACCTAGAAATGGCTTAAAAAGCGTGAAGGTAAATCTACATGTATATTTGAAGGTGTATAACTCTTCAATCCTTAAATGTTTTCATCTTTAATTGGACAAACTATTGGTGCACTTTAATTGCTACTTGCCTTATCTTGAAACCAAAAAGAAGGCCCTTTCTGCAAAATGTTCTTGTTTAATATTCAACATCACGGTATAGTTAAGTCGGAGATAAATTTTGAACAAGCCCGAATTACAACATCATTCTCTTCAAGATTGCCTGAAACCAACCGTTTGTTGGAACCAAAATAACTTCGAGGGCGATACCTTTACTAAGGGTTATCCCCTAAGGGTTATTAAGGTATTATTGCCCTCCACTTCGGCGAATAATTGTTGTTGTTTTTACTGATGAGTATATAAATTTTCCTCTTTTAGGCTGAGCAGTTTTGTCAACTGCAACATATTGTATCACTATGGCTGTTGTTATCATTAGAAAGGGCAAGAGTATTGACAAAGCGTAAACAGGTTTGCAAAAAATAAGAGTGATACAACTTTAGAAATTTGGGGGAAACCTCCTGCATACAGTAAATCTAGTGTTGACATGTAGACTGACATGTAGACTGTACTAATGAAATTGAAATTTGTAGGCATTTTTAAGCCAGTTACAAAAGAGCAAGTTTTCTATCACAAGTTTTCATAGCGTACCAGCTTTTGAACAAGTGCATAGAAAACGTGCTCGTCTACTGTCTACCTAGCTTTCATTCCTTAAATTTCTAAACTACTTGTCTTCACTACTTATTTTGCACCAGAAAACTGGAGAAAAGGCTGTAAGTTGTTTTATAAATTATAGCAGTTTTTCTTCCAAATCTTTATTTGAAATAAACAACAAGATCAAAGCTGCCAAACTATGGCGTCCTGAACTTTGCCTTTCAACGAGCAGGCTACAATTTGGAACAGGTCTACTGTTTTTACATTACATGACTGTAATGTATTTCTCGTGTAGCCGAGTAAGGATTGAATGTCAAAATAACCTTTAATCTTCAAATAAGTGTAATAACGACTATTTCTAAAAAGAACTCCTCGCCCTCTCTACTCTTTATCGAGACTCTCTTGCGCATGCGTCTATATACAGTACTTCATATAATCAACATATAACAACTGCCACCTCTTTAAGTGTCCCTGCACTGTAAACGTTAAACCCGTAACATAACACAACAATCTACCTAAGTTCAAAATGTTTTTACTATCCAGTAAACCTTTTAGGAGGTTTACGC